TGGGAATACTCATTGTAAAAAAGTCTCTTTAAAAATTCGATTTATCGACCATTTCTCAATAATTGCAATAAATTGCAATTAATTTTTTTTTGGCTTGTTTTTTGCTATCCCTACCAGTCACTGATATTATAGCTTAGCAGTAGCAGTCACTATAAGCGTTGTTTGAACAACAGTGATAAAATCACCGGTGGTGAAATATCGCTCATCACTAAATGTGATATCCAAAATAATTGCATACGTTATATACAATGTTATAAAGAATGTGTGCCAAAATTAATGCCAAATCTAAAGAAATCGTGTGCACAGTTTTGAAAAAAGTCGTTTCGAGCTAAAGAAAGTATGTACTGCTTTTCGGCGCCTTTCAACTTTGAATGGGGAAGCACTTACAATTTTTTTAGAGTGTACACAATTTTTTAAGCGATTTTTTCGATTGTTTATTTATTTTTTTCAGGATGCATATTAGGTCAAATGATTCATTTTTGGCTGTGCGAAGGTCCAATTTCGTAAAGACAGTTTTACATTATTTTTTTGTAGCAATTCTGTAGGAAATACTCAAAAATAACAGAAACTTCACTTCGTTTTTTGTAAATTAAAAAACGCCGTTCGACAGCAGTAAACCAAAGTTACGCTTTCAAAACGTTATTGACACGTTGTTTGCGCAACCGATTTATTTTGTAAGACTCAAGTGCATTTTTTTGTACAGTTTGAACAAGGAAGGAAAATTTTATATGGAAAACAAAACTATAAGTGAGAACCTATGCCCCAATTTAAAAAAGGGACTTTTTATTATTTGTTTGCAAAAACTGACTTATTTGCATAACCTCAAAAATTTTCTGATTTATTTCCATTTATGATTTTATGTACATGAGCTGTCCCAATTTCGTTAACTTTCGGCAAACAAAATGGATAAATTTATATGTAATGAGTTGATTATATTTTACTTAACCCGCCGTTTTTAGCCATTTTAAAGAAAAAGGGGTTTTTTCCCGGCTATCATGCTATTACAAAAGGCGAGTTGTTTGAAGTTTGGCTGATTGGATGTTCGAAAAAAGAAAAGCTTTTTCACGGTTGTCAACCATGTTGAAAAAACTTGGTGCTGCTGATATTTGCGGATGTCCATGAAACTCTTATCAAAGAAAGACTTAAAATTACGGAAAACAATTTGGAAAGGATGCTAAATTGTTTAGATCTGAAAACACTTTTTTCTTGCTGATGAAGTTCTCTTCGAAATCAAAAAGCCAACTGTGTCGACCAGCTGCCGGATTCTCACTTTCACCATCGCTAAAATCAGGGACGTGAACCGGTTTTGAACCGGAAAACCGCTTTTTTCTATTAATTAACTGAACCATTAACCGAACCCAAATTTTCCACAAATGTTTGATCCGAACCGAAAACCGAACCACTTTCTATAAAGGTTTAAAGGTTCGTTTCAACCAATTTTCAATAGATAAATGTACGTACTTTTTTTCTTTTCGTTAAACATGGTAATACCTACTATGTTTGTTTACCATGTGACAATATAAAATGTAAAGGCAACCGATCTCATTTGACAGACACTTGACCCTTAACCTTGTGCGTTGTTGCACTTGACACTTGACACTTAAACTTGCGCGTTATTTTTTTGTTTCTCGAACCGTTGCACCGAACCGAAACCCCGGTTCAAAGACCAAAAAACCCCTTTGACGAACCAATCCAAAAGTGCAAAAACGGTTCGAACCGCTGAACCGAACCGACCAAATTTTTCATCCGGTTCACGTCCCTGGCTAAAATGCTAAAAGACGAAAGTTAACATTATTCCGAATTTTTAGCTATCTCCAAAAATTGCGGTTCTGTCCTCCCTTTCTCTAAAAATAGCTTAGCCTAAATTTTTTGGTGATAAATAGTCCATTTCAATGAAGATAAATAGTGAAAATGGAAGCATGTGATAGCAAAAAAATTAAATAGCAGCCTCACTTTGGTGTACATTTTGCTCAGTGGCGGATACAGGGGGGGGGGGGGTAGGCGATGGGGGCAATCCTGTATCCGCCATTGTTTCGTCTCGTGTAGCGTAGCCATGGCTATGACAAAATTTTAGAAAATTTACGGATTGAAATTTCGTAATTATTTGCTCAAAGTGAATAGAGCTTTAAACATTCTTTTCACAAGTTAGTTTCAAAAACATTCGTATTCTTTTCAGGAGGTTACCAGCGATTTTTGGTAAATGTGTCAGAAAGCAGCATTTGCATTCTAAAAATAAATAATAGCGGTGGAGAATTTGGGAATACTGAAACCTCAAGTGAAAATGAAGTGTTTTATGAAGGCTAACTCCTTTAGGAATCTCTCCTCAAGTCATATCTGCGAGACATGTAGTAAATATTTTTGTTTTTTTTTTAAATTTAGAAAGTGTTGGTTAGGGCCTTTGAGAATTAAGCATTATCAAATCGTCAAACTTATTTCAGGGGACATATTGTCGTCTCAGTTAGCCAATGATAGATGGCAGAGAAAGTTTTCGACGTTTTCTATTTCTTCGTCGTCTGTATAATGCAATGCGAGCAGATTTTCACAGCACGCCATGTTCTGGAGAATAGACTCGATACACGCCATTTTTTTGTCGATTTTAAAGCTGCTTTTGATAGCGCGAAGATAAAAACTAATACGGCTATGTACAGTGAGATTAAGTACAACTTTCAGTTCCGTCCAAATTGGGAAATACCCATCAGTGCTGTTTGAGATCGAACAAGTTTTAGACAAGGCGATTTCCTCCCGTGTGACTTTTTGAATCTGATGTTGGAAAACGTCATAAGAGCTGCTAATCCGAATTGCAGCGGTACCATATACAGCAAAAGAACTATGCCGCTGACGTATCCAGATGATATTGACATCGTTGTCCTGAAAGCAGGAACGTTAGCGCAGCAATTTACAGCCCGGAAAAAGAAGAAAAAGAGGTTGGTCTAGCGGTGAATGAGGACAAGACAAAGTAGCTCCTTGCAAAACATAAAGAGTCATTGCGTTTTGGGACACATTTCACTTTTGGCAGTTATAACTTTGAAGTAGTGAAGGACTTTGTCTTGCCTGGAGATCAAGCGAAGAGTAACTCTTGTAAACAGGTGCTACATTGGGCTCGGTAGGCAATTGAAAAGCAGAACCCTTTCTCGACTAAAAAAATTACGATCTACAAATCCCTCACACTGCCTATCCTTTTATTGGGCGCAGACACATGGACGATGTAGAACAAAGATTCGGATTCGAATACTTCACACTATGTATTTCGAATCGCATTGAGTTTCGAATCGTAATACAGAGTAGACCCCTGTTTGCGTTGGCGACGTGCTCCGAAGAAAATGGAATGACGAACTTGTCGGGCTTTTTACCGACATGGACTTGGACATGTTGTACGCATGGATGACGAGGAGCTCCAGTGGACAACCGGTGGACAACAAAAGAAAGGGCGGCCACGAACACAATGCAAGGACCAAGTACGGAAGGACCTGCCTGCTCTTCGCTTGTACAACTGGTATTACTTCGCAAAGGGGAGACGCAATTGGCGAAGCTTTTTTCTCGACCCAAGCCGACAAACGATTGTAGAGTAAAATAAAAAGAAGAATAAGAAATTATCACCGATCTGCGGTGAGTTATATGTACATTAGACCGTACCACCTTACAAAAAAATTTAAATCCCTGAGTTTAAGGTAGATAATTTTGCAAAGCCAAGCCAAAAAAAATGTTTATTTTACCAAACCTGGGCAATGCACAAATTTTTTCCCAGGCTTTTTTTTAACTATTTCTATTTGAACACAATATGTACTTCCTTAGCAAGACTTTAATTATTTAAGGGTGGTATTTTAGTGTGGGTGTACTTAGTTCAATGAACTTTGGAGCAAAAAAAAAACTGGCCGCCTTGAGGCTAGAACATCGATATGAATGTATGTACTTATGTATATCATGCTTTAAAATCCGATTGTAAATGATGAAAAATTTAAGAAGGCGGCCGCTATCACAGTGGTGCCAAATTGGAATTTACTGTACAAAATAGGCAAGAGCCTTCATTTTTTAACGTCTTTGACTTTTTTCGATTAAAGCAATTGAGATTTAAAAGAGATTTGTCGAGCCAGATTTTTGAATTTTTATGTTTAGTGTAAAGTGCAGAGGTTTTCGAAAATTTCAAGAAAATTGTTTCTACTGTTCCTGTTAATGAATGTTACGTAATAAAAAGTAGTTAAACACAATTTAAGAGTTTCCCCAAAGTGAAAAAAGTGGCAAACAAAAAATTTGACGGGATTGAAAACAGAAAAAAACATCTAGCACCGCCAACAAAAAAATATTAATAAAAATTAACGCAAGTTCTTACCTTCTTTTGAAACTTCCACCTTACTATATTAAAACTTAATCGGCTGTAAAACTGCATACCTCAAATGTTTCTTAAAATAAAAAAAAATTAAAAACATTTTGTATAACATTCCAATTTTCTTTTTGTAATTTTTTATTTGAGGGAACCTATAATTGTATTCAACCACTTTTTTATCATATAACATTCATTAAAAATAACAGCAGAATCAACGCAATCAATCAAAAATGTGGCTCGACAATTCTCTTCTAAATCTCAAAAAGTTTCATTTAAAAATATAACGAAAACGGTTTTAAAAAGTCTCCTGGCTATTTTGAACAGTAAATTCTAATTTGGAACCACTGTGCTACGGTCGGCCAGACAATTTTTTTTCGAAATTCCCTTCCAAAAATACTTTAGACTCGGGGTGTATGGCGAAGTTTTTTTTTTGAGTACGGTCTAATGTACACAAAAAGTTTTGTTAAGCTGGCGGACTTTCGTGCGAGCGTTTAGATATTGAGTACTTACCGATCTGTGATTATTATAATTTTACGCTTTAATAATTAAAGACTTTTGTAGGTTTTCTGTTTTTCAACAATATATTTTTATATTAAACATTTACTCATCACAAATTTTATTCGAGTGTGAAAATATCAATGGGTTTACAAAAATATAATTAGACTTCTCAAACATTTCATTGCAACTGATTTGACAAAAAATAAATACAAAATTTAAAGCGAAGTAAATAGTTTACTATCTTTAACAGTCTGAGAGCAATGGAATAAAATACCATAATTGATCGTTATGCATAACTTTTGCGCGCCTTATTAAAACACTTATTAACAAAATTGATATTATTTGCTTCTCTTTTAAAATATTTTTCAATACAATTTGTTTGATCAACAATACATTCGAGTCTCATTATAAACATTATTCGCTTAATTGAGTGCATTTTGTGCGCTTTTACTTTACATATATGTGTATACTTTCTTGTTCCATTTAAAATAGATATTTATTGCATAAATTGTTAACGCGTGCAGTCATGTGGTTAACACGTTTAGGCCGCAATGTAGATTTCAAACTCCTTGTAGGCCACCTCTTCACCGCCATATGGAATGTAACAGCATCCATGCGATGGCTGAACTTTGCCCACGGTGATGGTGCCGTCGTGTGTGGCGCGGCCAATGAATAGCGGCTCACCGTCAGAGGTCTCGCCACCAGGGAAGGCATTTGGTGGAATGTTACCATCCTTTACGGGCACCCATTGACCGCCGCCTGAGCACAAAACTTCATATTCGCCATGACCGTGTTCGCCGCCTCCCCAAGCAATGTAACAAACACCATGTGATGGATGTAGTTTACCGGGAATGAGGTCACCCTCGTGACGAGCGCGACCAATATATAATTGTTCGCTGCCATCGAAGCCTCCCTCAACAGCGCTGGGCGGAATGGTGCCGTTGGCGGCTGGTACCCAACAACCGGGACCGCTGCCACAGGGTGGGGCGAAGCCAAAGGCGGGAGCGCTGGCCTGTGGAGCATCTGTGTTTTAACAAAGAAAAAACGTGTTAGATCAAGGTTTAGATATGCAATTAAACTAAGCTCACTTACCGTCAATCAACCACGATCCGCTGGCACCCCAACCGGTGCATACGCCTACGAAGTTTACGGGGAACAAGTCTTGCGCATCGTACGACAAAAAGGCGGCTGCCTCACCCTCACGACCTACGGTGATTACATTATCGTACCAACGTATCCAGAAACCACGGTATTCGCTGGCTTCCAAGATGCCAGGCGTATGTACCTCCACCACATCAGGCTTCTGGCGATTCTTTCTGATCACCGATTTGGTATTCTCCCAGCCACCAATAAAAACTTCATATATGGGATCGGCCTCCACTGGCGCGGAGGTCAATGCCAAGTGAGCATCGTGCGCGGCACGCACTTTGAAATTGAATACAGTACCGGAGACTGGATGGAATTGGTATTCCAATTTATCGGGTGTGTTGATCTCTGTAAGATTATAGAAAATGTTAATTAAAAATCAATTGTCTTCAAGATGTGATAAATGGTGATAAATGAGCACGATTTTGGCGTGATTCAATTTCAAACTTAGCAAGTTGTGGTAGAGGAGTTGTTAGAGAAATGTCAAACTCTCCACTTTCTTGACAATATTTATTATAGTACGAGTACTATACATTTGCTAATTAGGTCTATATGCAGGTGATAATTGATTGCGGATTCAAATATATAAAAAAAAACATTTTTTTTGTTGTTGCAGTGAAGACTGAGTCATAATGTTGAACTGAAATAAATAGTTCGTAAAGCAGTGTTTGCATTGTTCAAATTTGCGCTCAACATTTGCGAGCTGCTTTTAAGACAACTGTACTCGCATAAGCGAGAGATGAATGCCACCTACGACCTGTCGAATTTCAAGGTAGACTTGGCCCAGGATGGATCGAAAAAGTCTTGAAGCTTATATATTCTAAAGAGGGAGGATATATCTCACATAATTGGCTCTCTAACATACAACTGGCTAATAGAAGCATACGCAGAACGGCTCGGAGTGCCTTACCATAGATGCTACAGACGTTGCAAAATCTATGAGGAAGAATGAAAATCATCTTCAAGAATTCAGCATGGCAGGATGGAAGTCGTGGTATCACAACGGCTACCTACCTAGTAAATTGAAGCCATCAATGACTGTGTGACTATCCGCGTAACTTCCTCTCGATTAACTCAGTTTGTATTATGTTTTGTTGATGTGACTCAGAATGTATTAAAAATCTCTATAATGTTTGAGATGTACACGCTTTGCTTAAAAAAAAAATTAGATTACCCTTTACAAGACTCGTTGTAATGATATAAAGTTAATTTAGTATTAGATCGATTTCAGGTCAAAGCAAAGAATAGCAAACGCTTGCGCGTGGTAAATGCCAACCAACCTTCGTATGGAGACCTGTTGAATAGGCACTTGTACACTTCTCACAATATTATGCCTTTCCCAGCAATCTCGTAGGAGATAGAGTGTGGAAGTTTGTCATAGGTGTACGTGGCCCAGAGGGCGATCGCAAAATAGAACCCTTTGGAGTGAGTAACAAAATTGCTAATACCTCTATTCTTCTTCCACCGGAGGACGCTCACTTAAGGGCTAGGATTCGATCTCAACTTGCCCAGGAATTGCAGTTGCGGCACTGTGAGATGTTCTGTAGGCACATTTTGGCTGAAGAAGTTTTTGGTTTGTCGTAGTGCAACCATAATTTCCCCGAAGTTTTGCAGGCTTGAAGGTGCAATCTCTGACTATTCTAGATTACAACAACAAGTACTCTTGAAAATGAAAAGCGTGGGGCGCATGTAATACACTTGAATTGATATGGAATGTAATATATGTATGTATGTATGTGGGTATATGAATAACGACCGCTTAAAATCGATTTCAAAGTTCTACTTTCGCTGTAGAAATTTTAGGTCTACGTTATGTAGTTTGACTATTGTCAATTAAATCGAATGCTTTGTATTGCATGCGCTCCACGTTTTTCATTTTCAATTTCATAGATTGTTTATAATGACTTTTGCTAAAATTTCAAAATCAAAAGTTATCAAAACAAATTCTATGGGACTGAGAAATATTATTTTCTACTTTTTAGTCCATTTATAAAAGCGTTGTATATTAAAAAGTTTTTTTTTATATTATTTTTTTTTATAATTCTTTTTGACATGCTGCTTTGAAAAACGATCAAACTTTGGTCCTACGAAGTGGCAGTACGCGCCTCTAACCACTCGGATGCAGCGGACGCACATTCTAATATTTCTTTAGCATTTGACAAGTTACAACTATATAAAAAAGGGTCCAGCGTCCAATCCGTTTTGGGTTTGCTCATCAGCCATTCCATTTCCATGAATGATCAGTGCAACGATATACCCATCAGGTAATGACGTATTGTACTGTATTCTTTGTTTACTAAGCTATTTGTGATACATACGGTATCAAGTGCCACCTAGCCAATCGAAAGAACAACAATGATTGTTCTGGCGTGTTCTGAGGCTAAAAAACTCGCCAAATCTAGAGTAGTAGTAGACTTTACATATAAAGATCAGACGAGAAAATTTCAGGCTCTACCCTGATTCATGAAATACATTCTTCCTAGCATTTAGTAAAGACCATATATTTCCATTCTTTGGTTGATGGAAATATACGTAGTGCTGAAGTTTTTTCTCAAGAGAATCGTAGGACAGATTTTTGCCAAATTACGTAGTTCATTGCAATAATACAGAATACTGACATTTACCCATGTGACTAAGTGGTATGAAATCCAAATGAAAACCAGAGACTTTCTAAATTAAGTGTACACCAAACTGCAAAGCATGAATTATTGTAAAAAAATAAAAGCTTGTATGTAATAAAGAAGGGAAAACTACTGACTTCAGAGCAATAATAAAAACCAACGTCACGAGATTGATTACAAAAACCTTGCTAATAATTAACTGCCTGGATTTGTTAGCAGCTCATCACTTCACATAATAGTTATGTATAACAAAATATGTAGGTATGTAGATATGTATTTTATATGCATGTATGTATTTCTTTTTGTAACTCAACACTCATACATCAATGGAAATCTAAATCACATGCACTTCGTTGTTTTGTTTTCTTTAAAGAAGATGTGGAATAAACCCGCAGTGTAAATAATAGAATGAGTTTAAAAAGCAAACATAAAGTATGACATCATTTCAAAGCAAAGGTGGAAAAAGAAGTTACAAAAAAAACGATTCTACGCGCTGCTCGGCTAGAAATTTCTAGGTGGCACTATTTGCGAGACTTTTAAGTAGCACAACGTTTTACTGTTAAAACGCGATTTTTTTCAACTTTTCAATACGCGAATAATTGCATGGGTGTATGTAGTTGTTTGCGTTATTACCCTGCAGAAAAAAATTATCAATTGATAAAAAATAACCCACAGTAGTTGGCTTTTTTCACGGGATTTGCGCAAAATATGTATATAACTTGTAGTTGGCTACAAAAAGCTAACTTGAAACAAATGCAGGAGTGATGCAGACGTAATTCGGAGATGGTTTTCTTTAAACAAGTTTCGATTAAAGGTCTTCATACAAATTTTACTTTGTATACATTTCTTTTCGGCACTTCACAAATGCTTTTTCGAATTCAGGACAAAAAAAGAAAGATCAAAATTTTATATTATCATTTTGAAGTTATGTCTGGCGTAGTTCCAATATGGGACCACCTACAGCAGAATATGTAACGTCAAATAAAGTAAATAAATAAACAAGTATACAAATTCAAAAAAAAAATATTATTTATCTTATGTCCCAAAGTGGTTATTTACAATTAGTTGGCATTAATGCAGAGGTAATCACCCTTAACTATTTCGAGGTCATCGCCATACAGTTACAAGTTAACTTATAGTTAGACACATTTCCTGTAGGGTGCCAACCGTCTCTACTAATTGTACGAACAATAGGTGTAATAAATAAACAAAAAACAAATAAATAAATAAATAACGAATTCTCTTTGTACATTTTTCTAGGGACTGAGTGTTGGCGCGTTTTGCCACATATGTGTATCTTTCTTACTCTAATACATACATACAATTTAAAAAAATTCTGCAATTCGACGGGAACCTGACTCAAATATTAGTTTTTGGTATAGTAATGAACCTGCAAGAATCTCTCATCTCTATAGAGATACGATAAATCTACGAGGTGCCGCATCGAGCGTTAGGAAACTTCAATAAATATTCACCAAAATTTCAAACCTAGCGTTGACATTTGTTTTTTTTTTTTCTGCTGATAGTGTTACGCATTTCTTCCATAAAAAGTATGTTCGCCATTTTTTTTTTATATGGGGAAAAATACATAACACCGTACCACAAAAAAAATATATATATATTGAAAATCATCGGAATCTCTGAGAAAGTTCACACTTGCGTTTTATTATTATACATACTAAAATTTAAATGGCTATAAAACCGCATATCAAAAGTTATTCTTATTAAAAAGATTGGATTTATGAAACTTTATTGGATTTTCTTAATTTTTGCACACAGTTTGGAATTTGGAAAGTTTGGGTTTTGTTAGATATAATAATAATAATAATAATAATAATAATAATAATAATAATAATAATAACAATAATAATAATAATAATAATAATAATAATAATAATAATAATGATAATAGATTGGCGCATACACATATCGTCGCTACCATGTCAAACTATCGAATGTGCAAAAATGCTTTTTCATTTACGATACCTTGCGCATGCGTTTAGAATGATTCGTAAGTTGGCAAATCGTCCAATTTCTAGTCTTCTTAGAAGCAGAGGATAATGGCTTTAACAAAGTGTCTAATCCTACACTTTCACCTAATGACAACAACATTTTTTACATTAGCTTCTTTGCTCTCCTAAAAAGTACCGATTTTCGCATTCGATAGTTTGACATGGTAGCGACGATATATTAGTGCCCGATTTTTGTCGTGCGCCTTGATGTTGTCACACAAAGGGGAGGGAACTAGAGTTTTACGCCGACTCCCAACGGCGATTGTATTTTTATAAGAAGCTGTTTTTCATGGCAGAAATTCACTCGGAGGTTTCATATTAATAATACTGAAATTTTTCACCTTATAATTTGACTCTCTCTTTTCTCGGTTCGTTTTCGCCACCAAGTCATCGTATTCGTTTTTATATTATAAACATGAAATGTTAAAAAGACTGTCCTTATTATATCTTAATTGATAATAAAACGGATATTGTTGTTTTTTAATAAAAAATGAGCTTGAAGTTCATTAAATAGTAATATTTTTTTTGGGGAAATTCCATTGAAAATAGGGATTTTTTTCCAGGAATTTGGGAAATTAGCTTTAAGAGAGTTGACATCCCTGTTCCAAACACTTCACCCTATTAGTGGAATTTTCACTATTTATGCACTATTAGAATAAATATTATATTAAAAATAAGCAAAAATATGAGTTATTTGCGCTAATAAATTGCTAAT